TTTTTATATATATATATATATATATATATATATACTGTATATACACACACATATATATTTGCGTATAGAGTCTATAGTATATTTATGGACTGTAAAAATGGGAACTTAAAGTAAGAAGTGAAAGCTTATATTTTTTAGGCTGGGATTTTAAAATGATGACTAGATTGTACTTGTCTGGTAGGGCCAGTTCCACGTTCTATAGTCAAAGCCAATTTTTATAAATGGGAAGTTCATAAAAAATTAAACAGCCAGGCCACTCCCACTTCCATAAGCCTTCCACTCTGACCTGTTGGTCAGAGGCAGTCCATCATAGTAATGGGCCAGTTGGTATGTATTAAGGGGGTGGGAAGGAGCTAGCAAGCATGTTGAAATATGATTAATATACCTAATCAGCAAATATTCCACGTCATACTAGATCTCACTCAGCATGTTTGCAAAACAATTTACATATACAGTTATGGCTTACAGAGTTATCCTTGAATTACAAATGCCTGAAAAGGGGTCAAAATAATCCACAACACTCACCGTTTAGATTCTGCAGCCAGATCCATATTAAGAGGAACCTCCAGGTGCTGGCAAATGGCTCGCTTCCACCTGTATGAATTTTTATTTCAATCCATGGATTAATTTTATTTCAATCCATGGAACAGCATACACCTTCCAAAGCTCCCAAGAACGAAAGAAACTCTCTCCTTATGTGTTTCACCCACAGGGCTTAATCATAGGAATTACATTGTAGGATTGTGAAACATGAAAGGTGCATTTAAGTTCCCCATATGTTTTATTAATATTTGTGTTAGCTGCCACTGTCAAGGCTAAGCATGGAGCATTCTTCATGAACTCACAAGGATGGTGGATTCGGCCATGTAGGTTATGCTACAGCCCTGTACAAGAACCAGTACAAATAGATCAGTGGGAGAATCTGCTGGACCCTGATAGCCCATGTTTTTATACACATATTTTGTCACATGTCAAATGCTTTATGGAGGACACTAAGTAGATCGTCAATGCAACAAATATACGGTATGCATGGTTTTATCGAACATACCTCACAACACGTGTCCAACTTGGAGCAATGATTTTCTCATGACACACTAGTTTTGCCCATTCTGGAAAGCTTAGCAACATTCATGATGAAACACCCACAGGTTTATTCACAAAAGGGTGAAGAGCTTGGAGAAGGCAGAAGAAGTAAACAATCTAGGCCAAAACAGCTGATTTGGAAAGTGAGCTGAATTGGAGAATTTTTCCAAATCAGCTGTTTTGGCCTAGATTGTTTACTTCTTCTGCCTTCTCCAAGCTCTTCACCCTTTTGTGAATAACCCTGCCAGTCTAAACAAATCCTTAATGAAAATGTACATATGTAACTGGAAAAAGCTTTAAGAATCCTAAAATGCAGTGACAACATAAGCTGTGACTCACTATATAGTAAAAGGTAAGAGGATATTTGTAATTGACTATAAGCTTACAGTAAGATGCTTCTGGATCAAATAGGGGAGGTGTGGATTGTCATTTAAATGCATACATTATTATTACAGTACAATTAAATGTACTGTTAAAGGCACAGTTCCCTTTTAAATTTATGTTTCTCCCTTTTTCTTTTCCTCATTTTTAGGACTTGTTCTTCTTTACTAATGACTGTGAAGCTCTTGAGCACTTGCCAACTCCGACACCCACTTCAGTCATTTCAAGATAGAAGTGTTTCGCAATGTTGTTTGATAACAGCTAAAACTTATGCTGCTGGTAGGCACACTAACTCCCTAAAACTGGAGGTTCGCTGTGATAAGTGAACAGCTCCCTTTCCCTATCTAGTTGCAGACAGTTTTCACAGTAACTTATTAAGTCTGAGTGACCATTTGGGAACACAAAGAAATGTTCTTGAAAGACAGCACATAGTTCACTAATGGACTTTGATGGATGGTTAGAAGCGAAACTATTATATTTTCATCTTTTAGACATCTTCAAAATTATCTTACTATGTACACCCTGGAGTAACATCATAATTGAATAAAATTGTACACTTGCTTCCTAAGATTCTTCTTTTCCTTGAAAAAAATCCTTTGTAGCCTTGAAAGCTCTGAAATTACCTTGCAGTTTAACAACTCTTGCCACCAAAATGCATGAGCTCTACAATACTTTAGTTTTTATCTAATTTTATTTCTTGCATGGTAAATACAGTATATACAATATGTCACTCTATGAGGAAGTCGTTTGTCTTCAGCTCTAGCTATTGACTTGTAAGTAAATGCAACAATGTAATAGTATATTTCTATATAAATGTATCATTGTGTTTTGCATTATTTGTTTCCTACTGAGAGAATAAAATACTACTATTTACAAAAACATAATTTGAATGGTTTTAATCTTTCCGTTCTTAATATGATGGAAAGCAAAGGCTACAAGAGAGCAGGAGGGACATGGTAAGAGATCCAAAGAACTTTTAGGGTAGACTGGGTGAATTGGTCTGAGTTGGGAAAACCAGATCCTTCTTCTCACATGAAATCAGACCTCTCAGCAACATCACAAATCAGAAGAAGTCAATTCTGACATTCAGCAACATTGGTAAAAAAAACATTTATCAAACCTATGTATACCTTAAAAAATCTTTTACTTGGTATCAATATAACGTAGTCCTTAGGATGCAGCCAAGCTACTTTACATACACAGGGACCATGGGGAACAAAAGTAGCCACCCCCCAGAAGGAAGGACAGTGTACGCACCAATTCAGAGATGATTTGAGGATCTATAGATGAGTGATATACAAATAAGATACATTTTGTTAATAGTTAAGGTACTTCAATAGATTTTTAAGATTTAACTCCTGAGTTTAGTGTCACTTTAAGTCTGTGGTTTCTTTTAACTTCTCCTCTGAAAATCCCCCATTTTCTAGTTCTTGTTTTCAGGTGGCTCTGTCCCCTCGCAGGGTCCCATGGAGCCACCTTTGTGTGCACGTTCCCGGCCGGCAATATAGAAGAGTCTTGAATGTCCATAGAATTAGATCAGATAGCTCCAGCAGCAAGCCGTTCTCCTTTCCCCACCTCCTCCCTCTTTCTAGTGAGTGATTGACACCATCTGGAGCCTGGGCTGTACCTTCTGAACAGTGCATGTGAAGTTCACAGGGTGTGGGCTCCCCTACCTCGAAATTCAGGGAAGTGGCACTGAGTGACTTGGATTCGGTGGCTGTAAAAATCAAAATATGTCAGTGTTGGACACACATATGAAGCAAGAAATGTTTGGGGGCATGTATAACTGCTTCTTTAGAATGAAAAAAAATATTTAAAAAAAACACTGAGGGGAATTTATAAAAACTGGAGCAGACAGAATCGGGAGACGTTGCATGGCAAGCAATCAGCTTCTCTCTTTCACTTTCAATGTTTAACTGAACAAACTAAAGATAGAAGCTCCAGATTCTGTCTGCTCCAGTTTGATAAATTCCCCCCAGAGTGTTTAGTACTGTAAGCATTTTTAAGTGCAATAATTCACTGAAATTCACTGACCTGGCTGGGACGATGTAACGTGCAGCAGAGCAATTGTGAATAGATAAAAAAAATTTGTGTCAACTTAAAAAATAAATATTTATTGGCTTATAACTATGTGGAAAACACAAAGATACTTAAAATTGTAAATAGGTGGCACATTAAAAACTGCTACAGCCCATTCATTTAGAGTTTAACTTAACTGACCACCCTAAAATTATTAGTCTACCCAGGAATGTGTAATGTTTTATTGGGGAATGCTTGTATGTCTGTGTGTGGGCAGGGGGGTCTATTATTTTTTAGCTTTATTAAGTGTTTGTATTTTTACACATTTTTACTTTTTTTTCTTTTTTTATTAATTTGCTACCAACACAAGGGGGCTGAAAAGACCTATTAGATCCCTAAAATCTTCTCTGCCACTAATACAGAGAGCCACGATCTGCTTATACACTACACCTCTGCTGAAACATTGACAGCTCCGAACTTGGAAGTGCTCAGAACTGAGGAACAGCATGGAGAGGAGGTCACTATTGCAGGCAGAACTGTTTCTGGAAGAAAATGAAACAGACAAAAACTAGAATGGATAAATATAATAAACATGCACATACATTAATCACACATAATGTTCTCGTTTAGAGAAAGCTGTCCCAGTGCAGGGGTATGAAATGCTGATTTTCTTACCGCCCATAAAAAATACAATACTTATATGTACAGCTTGTACGGAGAAATGTTTCCATTGGAGAAGCAGAGCTTTTTCATCATGTCAAGAAAACTGAACTCTGGATTGCCAGTCTGCATGATAATAGTTGAACGATGCATAAATTAAGGTAACATAACTATGACCAGTATTCCCAGGGAAAACAATATTCTATATAATAAAGAATTGCTTCCAGGAGTTGTGTCATTCTCATAAAGTGTACAGGAACCTCAGCTGTGATATCTGTTCAAACAGGCTGAGAAATAAATTATTTAGTTTACTTTTTAGCAGTAAATTAACAACCATTCAGATCACACAGATTCTGATATCCACTAGAAACATTCAAGTCCCGTACACATGGTCGGGTAGGACGTTTTTGTCCATATCTCTACTTACCTCCTCATAAAAAGTTAGCAAGTTAGTTAGGCAGGAACGGTCTTTCCTGTATGAATTGTGTATTGTGTTTTAAAAGTAAAACCAAAAAAAAAAGAAACATTCAAGTCCAGCTACAGGTTACTATTTCAGTTACTTAAATAATAAAGTACACTTATCATTTTAAACACACACACAGATCTGTACTTACCAAGATCCAACAGACACGGCTCCACTTTTTTCATAGTACTATAGTAAATTAATAATAATATTCCCCACCATAAGCACCATAATACTGTCTATCTGACAGCACCATTTAAATCCTAAAATACTTAAAAATGTCAGAAAATGCCAATCAGTATTTACTGTGTGTGTGTATATATATGCATAT